CGGGCAACATTTTTGAAACTATCTAATGAATCGTTTTTGACTGTGAGGACATCCTTGTTCAGAAATCAATATTGATGCGATATTTTCCCAAAACCATGTTTTCCTTTGAGGACGCCTGTGGTGAAATATTGTTCCACCTGCATCCCCATGGAAACCCGAAACACGGGCTGAGTTGGTTTTATTTTTAAAAGCGCGCCGGTCTTTTCTTTGGATCAAAGCCATATCCTCGCTGAATATATTTCCATCTTTGTATATATTTGCAGAGATCATGAATAACAAGGTTGGCTTATTCAGTTCATAAATTTCATTCCATGTTTGATGTAGCGAGGAATTGCAGAAAATTGGAAGAAACCGGAGAGCGTTGATTTGACTATGCACGGAATAGTAGAATCACTATTGAAATATTTGAAAAATATAGAAAAAACCCTGAAGATTAAACAAATTAAATACGTTCGGTTTGTTAGGTTATGACGATTGAGGTTATGACATTTGTTATTATACGTGCATGAATGACTGGTATGCATAATACAATCAGTCATAATACAGTCAGCAATATCCATCACAGTGTTATTTAAAATACAACAAGCAACAAATCAGAGTTTTTCACAACGAAGCCGAACAGAAAGTACACTGCGAATCAGTCCACTACAGATGAAGAAGAAATCGCACGAGAAGAGCGCCGTGTTCTGTGTTGCCAGGTTCACTGTTTTCGCAGCAGATCTCCTATTTCGTTTCACCTGCTACTGTTCTACTGCTTGAGAGTCGAAATCTACCTATGCATCAGTTCATTTTCATAAGCTATTGCACTGTGAAATTATTTCAATCAATCAATCAATTTATTTGCTTATTATTAATATAACAGATTTAGCATCGTCAAGGTAGATAAATATAATACAAAACATACACATTAAAAAGGCAAAGCATCAAAACTTGCAGTTGAAAAATTCACTCACGTCATAAGGGCAGAGATCAACCAGCAGCCCTTTTATACTTTTTTTGAATTTAATCATATATAATTTCCTCATATATGGTAGTAGATGGTTCAAGAGCCTTATCGACATAGTAAAAAAGCTTTTATGAGTAATTGCCAGTCTATGTTGTGGCATAAGAAGATTGTGGCCATTTCTGGTCAAATATTCATGGTTGCGATTAACTTGAGGGGTGTTAAAAAGTAAGATTTTTAAAAAAAGCTCGGACACGTCGATTTCTAATTAAAGGGGGACACCTTTCAGACTAATCAGATTTTTTGTAGTACGCACCCCGTCGGAGGGGTAAAAACAATTTTTTAAACTTTTCTGTGTCATCAGCATTCAAGGAAATCAGCAGGTTGTATTCGTTGTGTAGGTAAGTTTTTAGTATGATTCACTTTTTTATCAGAAGCATAAAGTATCCACGTCAAAAGGCAACCTTCATAAGGAGGTGCCACTCAATTTACCTAAAATGTAAGGGTGATAACCAACCCCATCACCCGAAAAAATCTCCTCGTAATAAACAAATAATTCTAACTTTTTCACGAAATCAAATGGACACGTATTAGCAGGTTGTCATAAAAAGCAAAAATTTGTTTTTTTATGAAAGTTCTGAACGTAAATTGTACCTTAAAAACAATTTGATTTATTTTAAAAAGAGTTGAACTCAATAAAAAATACCTTTAAATCTTCAAATTATCTCGAAAGCTAATCGTTACAAAAATTTTCTTTTAACAGAGTTGTAAAGGTATTCGAAAGACCTTTAAAACAAGGTGCCACTCGACCTACGTTCCCAATCTGAATAAGGGTCGTCGGACGCACCCTTCCGAGGGGGTGCGTACTACAAAAAATTTGATTAGTCTGAAAGGTGTCCCCTTGACGTGTCCGAGCTTTTTTAAAAATCTTACTTTTAATATTCGAAAACGGCTCTGTTAAGTTTTCGTTGTTACACACTGTATTTTTCAAATAATGTTTCTGGAGATCAAATCGTGAGTGTAGTTTATGAAATTGCCATGGATCTTCATCAAGTAACGGCCGAATCAATCATAAAAAACAGAAAAATATTAGTTTCAATTTGAGAAAGTGGTTTCAATCAATGAGATGTTTTTATTCAACAGTCCTTGTACTAGATGACACAATTTAATTTGTTATGCCTTTCTGAAACCACAACATATATCAAATTGCTCTTCCCATTCTACCACTTTTCCTATAAATCTTTTAAGTGTTGGTGATATTTTCAATTTAGACCAGACACTAAAAGTCATGTATTAAAAGGCGTTACAACCTCAGTTCCTGTTTCACAGAAGCAGAAACTGGTCTGTTGCCGAAACCTTAATCAAAAACCAATTCTCTCTCAAACAGCAACATCATCTGACAGGACAATACATTACTATTCATTACATACCCTAGAAACAACTGAATTGCCCGACGAAAACGCTAAGCTTTGCCAATTCTGGAACTATCTAGTAGTGCAAATGTAGCAGTGCTCCAGTCAAATTAGACAATCTTGTGAAAATATTATTATAAATCAATGCTGTTTTATTTACATGTCCATATAAAAAATTCAATTTTGATAAGAGTTTCTCAAAAAAGAAACGTTGCATTAAAAATATGTAAACGCCATTTTGTACAGCTCAAAAAGTAGCAATGAGAAACTGAAGTTGTCCTCCTAGATCATCGTTCATCCTGTCCTTTCCAGGAAGGTGGACAGGTCTCTGAGAGACATCTCTTTTATGTAGGCAGGTGTAGGCCAAGACTCGCCTGACACACACTCTCTTATTGACGATAACTCCGGACATTTGCATAGGACATGCCTGACAGTTTCACCTTCCTGTTCACACATTCTGCATAGAGGTGTGTCCACTAGCCCCATATTGTGGAGGTGCTCTCTTACTTGACAGTATCCAGTCAGAAATCCTACTGTTAAGCGTAGATTTTTCCTGGTCATCGCCAGATATATCTTCGGCGCCAGCTTCCCAGTGTTGCCAAGAGTGATCCTGACAAGATTGCATCCTTTGATTTCATTCCATCTCTTCAGGGATTGACCATGGGTGTGACGTTTGGCTGGTTCCGCAATTGTCGAAGTCATCAAGCCGTAAGTGCCACTAGGTCCTAAAATTCTTAGTCCAGCCGTTTCCTTGGCTGAAGAGTCTGCATTGCGATTACGTTTATTCCTCTCGTGCCCTTTTATCCTCCTCAGGATAATGTTATTATATACCGAGGCTTTGTTCATTCAGCCTTGTACCAATGGATCTTTTAGTGGGACCGATATAAACTTTTCCGCAGGTGCTTGGTATACCATATACCCCCGCAGTAGATCGAAGGCATTGTTGTATTTTCCTGGTGGGCCTGAACTCTGTTTTCATTTTAAGCTCTCCTAAGAATTTTCCGATTCTGTCTATAACCCTAAGGATGTGCGGTAGAATTCCACGTGCAACCGTTAGAGTTTCCTCCCTATTTTGACTTGTGGAAGTTTTCAGTTTCATGGCCTTGTTGATCTCGGTTAAACTGTATCCATTCGATCTCAAAGCNTTGTTGGATGATAAGTATCGAAAATGATATTTTCATCAGTATCAAATATAAGATTTTGAAAAAATTATGGCAAACTAGCCAACTTTGATGAAAATCAATGATGAGGTACGAGCTCCAATGATCTGGTGATATTACTGAATAGATACAATTATTAAAAAGTGTATTGAGTTATTTTATGAACAGGTTTGAACTTGCTAGCCGCTCTAGTAAGTAGAAATGCTTGATATACTTGTTAATTTCAGCTATTCTTTTTTATTGTTCATTTGTATTGGTTCTTTCAGGTATTTCAAATCATTTTATATAATATTAGACAATGGAAGTCCGAACTAATGAAATTCATCATGAAACATTGTCCATCCATTTCAAACAAACGTTGAGGAACATCTAATGCATCAATACCAAATTCTCTTAAGCGGCTGTAAAATAAAATAATATAATCGCAATTCGAATTTTCATATCCTGCAACTACGTCAATTTCGAATGTAAATTTGTTGTTTCTTTCATTTACTTAAAAAAGCGCAAACATTCAACCTTGAAGTTTCAGTTAAATGAATATTATTCATGGTTATAATATAAAAAACTAAACAACTGCTTGTTGGTCCATGTTATTTTCAAAAAAGATGATTTTAAAAAGAAATTGAAAATGAAACTTCAAAACTCAAAACCACTTCCTAGCAAAACACAGGATATCCATCGGACATCCATAAAAGGTTCCATAATTGTCCCTATGGACACGGACATTAAAAGGACGTCCTATGGATATCCATAAAAAGTCCATAATTTTGCAATACAAACGTAACCGTTAAATAGACCATACAAAGTCCAGGAAAGTACAATTGCCCTTATATGGACTCAGAAAGGACTTCAGAAGGATAGGGACTATTTAAGTATTCGTAAGCACTATAGGGGAAGGGGGGTATTTGCTTTGCTTATTTTTTATGACAAGGGGGGCGAGAAGGTCTAGATGATTACATCAGCACTAGTTTTTTTACACATATGGCAACCCGAACATTGTCTATGCTTGAAAAATCTAAAATGCATATAATATGTTTACGTAAGCATGGGAGGGGTGTAAGAACTTTGCTTAGTTTTGCTGGCACGGAGCATGGGGATAGGTTAATAATTGTAATAAATATTCTTACGAAATACTTGAACGGCCCCATATCCATGAAAATTTCATTATTGTTTCGTATGAAACATACTTAAAACCACCAATAAGAGGATGTCTTTCAGTTGTCACTCACTGCTGGGTGCTTGATTATGACTGGTTTTGAAATCACTGATTTTTCTTAATGGACAAGCATGCTCTCAGGCTTATCCTTTAAGGAAAGTTGAGTCCAGCAGCGCATTGTGGTTCAGCCTAGCAACACTAACGAGACTAATGTTGAGTCAGAAATGCTATGTGTTTGGGCTCTGGTTTTCCACTGATATTCCATTGCTTAGAATAGTTCATTGAGATCATTTTGAATGTCAGTTTTCTCAGTAAGAACTTTTTTTCAGCAACAGTTCCCTTCATTTTGGCCGGAGGGTAGGACTTCAAAAAAATACGGCCCTGTATTCACGATAGACCATATATCACACAACCATTATTCCAACATCAAAACCTGGGTGTTTCGAATAAATAAAAAAGTGAGTTTCAACCCTTATTCATGAGTATCAAATGACACTTTGTTGTTATATTTTTCACAGTACAGTTTGAAAAAACCATAACACGTGTTTCGCTATACAATAGCTTTCTCAGGCGTGCTCAGTATGTATGAATACGCCTGAGGAAGCTACGGCATAGTGTTACTTGACTATGCAGCTCCATCATGAGTGTTCATACAGAACATTCAAGTAACACTTCATTGTGATATATTATCACCTAAGAGTTTATGAAACCGTAACATATGTTTCGCTATAGTATAGCTTCCTAAGGCGTGTTCATACCGTTTAAACACGCCTGAGGAAGCTACAGCATAAAGTGTTACTTGAATATGCAGCTTCATCTTGAGTATTCATACAGTACATCCAAGTAACACTTCATTGTGATATTTCCACCTAACAGTTTATAAAACCGTAACATGTGTTTCGCTATAAAATAGCTTCCCCATGCGTGTTCATACCATAGGAATGTGTATGGTTTTGTTTAATATATTGAATGTGAGGTCTTGTTGTGTTTTAATTTTCCTTGTTCCTCGATACTTTCTGATCATTCCCATATTAATTTCAATTTAAGAGCCACCGGTAGACAGCTGTTTTAGCCTATTGGCAACGTACAGTTGAGAAAGGCTGTTTTTTGCTTATTTCCCAAGTACAAATTCACTGCCAAATCAAATTTTGAATAAATCTATTATTGAAAAAACTTTATTAGTAATTTTTCAATTAAGATAAGAGTCCTCGATGTCTAGGTGTAAAATGTTTACTAGTACTAAATCACTGATTTTTAATGAATATACTAAATTTCTTGTAACAAATATCAATACAGTTTTATTTGTTTTTCAGTGATGGAGGAGGAAGATCAGGAGTATATCTTTCTGTCGATGCAAACATGGAATTGGCAGAGGAAGAAGACAAATTTGATGTGTTCGGTTACCTGAAGAAACTAAGACAATCCAGGAAAGGTTTAGTAGAAAATGTGGTGAGTAAGCCAGTGACCTGAATAACAAATGAATTTACCACAGCAATATTTCCAGCAAAGTTTATCATCATTTTCCACAAATATTTCCCACCGCCATATAAACATCCTGTTGTCGAAACAGGTCAAGGTCTCTTTCATTCATCCCCAGTTCCAAGAGCGAGATTTCGATTATATGATTGTTCTCGTCTTTTTCCATTCTCCGCGGGTTTGATTATGAGGAGAAATTCCCGGAAGGAAAACGAACGACTTCGAAAAACTTTCCCTTCCAATTTCGTCACGACTAGTTTTGAGGATCTGGAAAGTTGCCGAATTGCTTCTTATCCCGTAACGATGTGATCCCTTAAATTCGTCGGTAGGTTTTATTCCTGAAAAATGTGTTTCGTATAGAAGTGGTTTTGAGGATTCACTGTGATGGGTCACTTGGAAACTATACAGTGAATTCACAAAAGGAGTGATACTTCACTTAAACTAATCTCATAATCTGATTCGCTATGTTTGATATAACGGCAGGACGCCGGTTCTCAAACGTAGGACAACTCCGAAAGACGGTCTAAGAGCTTTCTGATCAGAGTTACCAACTACTGGCTGAACGAAAACCATCAGATTCCAGTTTGATTTGTCAAGGACCTTTCTCTTCCACCAAAACGGAGATTTGATTCCAGAGAGTAACAAGCTGTTGCTTGAATTCATATCATGAGTACATCTCATTCAACTGATACTTGAGAATAGTGATTTGAATCGCTGAATACAGAGAAAACCTGTACGTCGACTGTTGTATCACGAAGGATTCAGTACAGAAGAGCATAACCTCTTTATGGTCTAAATAGGCTGATAGGCTGTCAAGGATTTGCTCTATCATAATATTTGATCAAACACAGGGCAGGTTACTTTCGAAAGTAGTGTCTTTCGGAGATGAATCCCTCAGCCCATCTGTTTCTGCATCTCACTAATGCCATTATCCGTTGCGCTCAGGAAAACTGTGGCACACCCAGCGACCAGAGGCCTAAGGGTACTCATTTGTTTCATATGCATCTGAAGAAAGAATCGGGATCAGTCCATAGGGGTGGAGGAAGAGTAAAATAATGATAGCTGTGTGGAAATGTGTAATGGTTTATCCCAAACCAGGACAATGCAGGGATTACGGGGGGTATATGCACAAGCGTTCCTGCACCATCTGGATGCCAGAGAGACTTACACTTACCTCGAGGTGAAACAAGGCGACTCACAAGACATAACCTAAGTGGAGAAATTCCTCAGCCGCAAATATAAGTAAGAAAGCCGACATATCTGGTCATCGGAACTATTACTGAGGAACAAAGTTACTGTTACAAATATAAATACGCTACTCTTCAAGATTAGTAAACCGGGGAGCAGCTATATCAACCCGACATAAATACCCATAGGAGTTTGCACCCCAAATTGCGTACTCCACAGTTTAGCTTCCCCTGACGACATGTCGATGTAGACTTTTGAGTTTACATAACAAAATGGTACTGGATGTAGCCTGTATATAGTCATCAAGACTTCGGAGACCACTCTTTACATGGTCCACGATCATAAGAGAGCAGCAATTAAAAAAAGGCATATCAAGGCTGCAGAGATCACTTCATTATGTTGTTTGTTGCGATAAAAATTGCAAAAATTCAGTGGAAATCTCAAGACTTACCAAAAGCCAAACTGCAGAAGAAATAACTGCTGAACTACTTGGATGACTCCCTGAATTGAACATATCATACAGAAGAATTGAATATGAATTTATTCAAATTTCTATTTTTATTAAGGCAACTGAGAAAATTTGTTCTTTTCGACTTTCTTCTCGCTACCTACTATGCCTTTCTCCAATTACATACTAGCTACGAGACGATTCTTTGGGAAAAATCAATTTCTGCTGGATAGATATCTGTGAGACAAAAAAAGCAATTATAATAGTCTTTCTCAAAGTGGGCGATAAGGCCCCTTGTAGGCGCGGGATGGCAGTAAAGGGCACAGAGAAGATTGGGGGGCGTTGGAGCGGTTTAGGGGGCGATGGCTAATTTGAAAATGTTTTTTTGCTTTTAACACAAACTTTACCGCTCTTTTTATTACTCTTATCGCGCGTTTTCTCGTGTAACGTCATCTAGGGGACTAGACAGTGACTATTTCCTGTCCGATAGTTGTCACACTAAACAATAGAGGGCGGTAAGCTTCAATGCGAAGCGAGAAGTTCCTAGTCTCCATTCTCGAAAGTACTAGGCCCGCCCGCTGCCTCATATAAAAGCGCGCGCGCCATCCAGTCAGTAAAGTCATTCGACGATATTACGAAAACAAGTGAATTCAGTTAGCGACTAGCTAGGTAAAGTGCTATACGTACGGTGGTGAATACTATGAGTGACGTCATTAGCAAGTTTTCAATGCTCGATTCTTTACTTCGGCATTTTTCAAAACAAAATTATGTTAAAATCAAAGAAGAAGAAACGGCAGTATATCGCGGAATATATTAAATATGGATTTATTGAAAATCCCACAAATCCATCTCCGCGTATGTGCCTTCTTTGTCAAAAAACATTTTCGAATGAAGCGATGAAACTCTCAAGACTTCTAAGCAAGACGACGACGGACTCCGAGCTTCCTACAATATCTCCTTGCTAATTGCTCAAACAGGTAAACCTCACACTATTGGAGAGGATTCAATTTTACCGGAAGTAATAACTACTGTGCTCCGTAAACCAGCGGCAGATATTATCCAAAAAGAGTCGTTGGGCAATCATCTGAAGACTTCTAAATTCTCAATTCAGTTAGATGGGTCCACTCTACCAACCAATGAAGCATTGTTGTTGTCATACGTGAGGTTTATTAAAAATGAGAAAATTTATTAATAATCACTATATGCCAGAAATTTAGAGACGGATACAAAAAGATAAATCATATATAATACACTGGAAAACGTTTGTGATGAGAAAGAAATTCCACTGAAGAGTATTATATCAGCTGCTATGGATGGCACTCCGGCTATGAGAGGACGTCACAAAGGCTTCATAGCGTACTTAAAAAATAAAATTCCAGATGTGCTCATTCATAGACAACATTTGGTTGCGAAAAATTTTGAGTGAGGGACTCTCTCAATCACTGCAATGTATCATCAAAGCAGTCAATAAAATTCGAAACAGCTCTTCTAATGACAGATTATTTAATCAGCTTTGTGTTGCTAATGATGAAGATTTCAACCGAGTGCTGTTTCACACAGAAGTGCGTTGGTTATCAAGAGGTAAATGTCCGACTCGATTTTACAATCTATTTGACGCTGTAATAGAGTTCTTGGAAAACAAAGACAATAAATTGCACGACAACCTCATCACTTCAAAGAATGATATTGCATCCTTGACAGACCTGTATAAATTTTTCAATAATGTCAGTCTCCAACTTCAAGGTGACGACTTGAATTTGATTAAAACAAAAAATGTCATTACTGCTTTTGTAGCCAAATTGCTCTTATACAAGAATAATATCGGCAGACGTGAGTTTCGCAATTTCCCTAACTTGTCAGCAGTATCCTTCAACAACGACGACTTGCTTGTTTACTGCCAACATTTGGACAACCTACACAGTGATTTCGCAGAACGATTCCATTTTTATTGGAAATACCGGATTGGGTGTTGGATCCTTTTTCAAATATCAACACAGCAGGATCACCCCAGCTGGATGAACTCATAGAACTGATAACGAACGAGGAAATGATAATGTTGGCTACAAAAGCCAATCCCGCAGTTGTACTCTGGATTGTGGTCCATCGTTCAACGATTTTTTATAGCATTTTCATCATCATATTTGTGTGAACGTGGATGCAGTGCTGTGACAACGTTGCTTACTAAAAAGGAAAATCGGTTGCAGATTACCGAACGCGGTGACTCACGGCTGTTTTTGAGTAAATTCAAGCCTGATATTAACAAACTTGTTAAAAATCATCAAATTCATCCTTCATATTAGATTAGTTTTTAAATTCAAATTGAAATGTTTATTTTAATAACATGAATAAAAGTTTTCCTAATATTACAAAATGGTGTTTTACATTACCCTCATCAGAAAGTATTATTTTCACACAACACATAATTTAATTATTGAAATAAAGACTGCGATTGTGATTCTTAAGATGTAGTAAAGTGAAAAAATTTGGGGGCGCTAGAAATAAAATAATTCTCGAAGTGGGCGGTAGACAAAATAAGTTTGAGAAACGTATTCCAAAAACACTTTATTGTGAGATTTTCACTAAATTGTTTTACAAAAACGCAACACGTGTTTCGCCATACAATGGCTTCATCTGGCGTGTCTTTCAACTGAGTTGAAAGACACATCAAGCTTCAGGGGTTGATAATATTTCAATCAGAATGTTGAAACTTTGTAGCCCGTTTATAGATAAATATATTACACATATCATTAATTGTTGTTTTGAACGTTCATATTTTCCAGACTTGTGAAAAATTGCCATTGGGAAACCCATTCCCAAGAATAATGATCCAGCTAGTTATTCTGATCTCAAAATTATCAGTATACTTCCAACCATGACTAAAATTTTTGAAAGAGTTATTTATTTACAAATTAATGATCACCCTTCCCCATTCTCCTCTTTTAATACAAAAACTAATTCTGCGTGAAAATATTCACTCAAGAAACATTAAACATAAAAACAAATGAACTATGCCACAATATTGCACTGCACAGTTTCAGAGATCTTTTTTTTTGGTGCTGTAAAACTTATTAATTCATTGCCCGAGCAATTGAAGAGATTCAATATCAGGAAATTCAAACACAAATATAAAAATTATATCTATGATAGTCAGTAATGTCAACTTTTGCTTTTTAGATAACAGATCAATTAAATTAAATTAGTTATCAACTATCTTCAGAAGGTAATCACAAATTATTATTTTATTTACGGTTCTCATTTCGTGGTACCATCACTGTTAATTGCTTTTATTTTTGTATGTTTGCGTACATTATGGAGTGGTGCTTGTTGGTTGAGTTAGAGTAGCATTGAGCTAGACTTCACCAAGGAGTACCAGAATCTCCTGTAACCTATTTTCATTTTCAAATATATCTTTATATTTTTTTTGTATTATCAATAAAGCCGATTTATTATTATTATTATATCATGATACATGTCGCTCATTGTTCAAGGAACTGGGAATCATGACCCGCATCAATTATTTTCTTTCTTCAATCACTGCTGGAGGTATATAAAATTAAGCACAGTCTTCTCACTTTCATAACTATAATACATGTGGTTCTTATATTATACGACCTGCTAAGTTCAATTAGCAGAAATCTTCTAAGAGCTCTCTAGATATCAATCTATACAATACATTTCCCCCATACACACTTTAAAAAATACGTAAAAACTATCTCATTGATAAATGCCTTTACTCCTTCAAAGGAGTTGAGATTGAGGGATGAGCTGGTGTTGATATCAATGTTCAACATCAAAAAGAATTTTGTTGATGTGTGATCACCATCGATTTTCCCAGGAACAATACAAATTCATCTACGACATTCTGGAGGAGCACGTAACCTGTGGAAATTCTTGGTTTCCTGTGAGCGAGCTCTCCCAAAGACTGAAACAGAAATCGACCAAGAACGCTATTACAAAACTGAACGAGTACCAGAGGGAGTACATGCTGGTATGCAAGCAGACCCCCAGGTTCACCATCGGGGACTGCGCTGGGGGACACAGGGGAGACAACAGGAAGAAGAACAGGGACGTCTTGATAGTACCACGTAAGTAGTAGATAATTAGGGAGCAGTCGTTTTCATGGTTGATGATATATTTGATTCGTTTTTCACTGGTAACGTTCTTATTTTCTTTTTTATTAGTTCATTTTATGCCTTTTATTCCTTACAGCTGACAATTTCCGTCCCTACTTGACTTCATTCCAAGGCAATAGTTTCACAGATTACATCAATGCAGTTTTTGTTGATGTAAGTTATCATCAATGTATGTCGACATCACATTTGACCAAGTTATTGCCATTTCATTGAAATCAATGTTTCCCCTCATAATCATTCTTCATCTGAAACCACTAAATTCGTTTCATTGCCTTCTCGATCACAGATTTTTCACGTATACAGAAACAAGCTGTGAAACGGATCTATTCAACAATATTGCTCTTTTTTTTGAAAAGAAAAATTCATCAAAAAAAAATTTAAACAAAACTTCATTGTCGGATGAGTCAGGAGATTAAAAGTTGCGAAACCTCAACTTTATATTGGTCAGACGGGAAGAAATTTCTCAATAAGAATAAAAGAGCGTTGAACTACTTTTTTAATTATGACTATGATATATCACATTTGGAATGGAAAGTTTCAACACTGAATCATCGGAAATGCCTGGAAATAAAAAGAATTGAATAATTCAGAATGCAATTCAGTATCGAACACGCACCAAGAAGTCAATTTCTGGTGGAACACGTGTTTCATTTTTGTAAACTACTTTGGATTTTCATCAAGTATCAACAAAATAAAGTCTGTCATCAAACTCAAAGTCAGAGTCCACAAGATTTACGAAGAAAAATATAAATGCAGTTATAGCTAACAATTTATGTATTCCAATTATGTATTCTAAACTCGAAAAAAAAATGGCACCATTCCATTCTTACTAGTATTCGTATGATCGATGGGTTTATAGAGGAGCCTATAACGGGTAATCATATCTTCGTATTTATTGATTTTAGAAATTGCCTTGTCAAAACTCTTGTTGATCAAATGACTGAAAACAACGGTAAATCGCCAATGCCTTTGTTTCAAACTGACGCCAGTATTATAAGTAATAATGACGGTTTGAGAGCCACTGATCGTCCTTTTTGTTTCAGATGACTACAATAGGATAGTACTAGATTCGATAGAAGGAGAACATGACACGGATTATGTGAACGCGTCTTATATAGATGTAAGTATGAGAAGGACAAAACACAAGCACTACAGAAAAAACCTTAAGGCGCTCTAAGAGCGGACAGTGAAGTTCGAGGTGTACTGAGTTGAACCTCAAAACGATGAGCAGCCACAGTCTGTCGCGTATTTCTAATATATAACGCTCTTGGTGGAATCAAATGTGCCAAGCCACCTTGAACACCTCCCGTGGAATTATCTATTGAAGAGAGACAAATCTCCAACCTTTCTTCGATGTTCCAAATTATCAATGTTTCAAGTGATGTCCGTGTCTCCATTTAGGTGAATGGCTCTCTTCTGGATGGAATCCAACTCCAAAGAATGTCTGATCTGAGCTTTATATGAAATCAAAAGTTGCTGAAGTGTTTACAGTTTTCTGGTAATAAACAAATTCTGGAGAAAGATCCCCCATCCTGTCCACTGGTACTGGCTCTGGTCCATGAGGAAGTCGTTGATAAGAACATAACTCGCTGCTATCAAACATCCAAAACTAGCCATCAGGAATGCCATCAGAAACAATCTCGCCATCAAAGAGTTACAAACACCTGGTGTTGCGTATTTATCGTATAAGGCATCGGAAGGTATGAAGTTTACACCAATCTGAAAAATAATAAAAGCAATGTCAAAAACCGCCCAAGAATATGCAACAGTATGGAACACCGTTTTACTTTATATTGTCACAAATATTCATTCCTCAATTTATTCACCTAACAATTTATTTGTTTGAATTTAATTGATTCATGCATTTGTTCGACACATTAAAAACGATTGTTCGCAAAATTTGTTTTATTTTAAATGACACTCGATTTAAAATGTTACATGAATAAAATTGTTATTTGAATAAAAAAGACTAATGAAATAACTTGAAGCTTTCATTGATTCCGAAGAAAAATATTGTTTCAGAGTGTTGGAAAATGGAACGCCAATTTTTATATATTATGCTGAAAAACAAACTATATACATATAGTTCAACTCAGCAATGAACAAACATTTTTATTCTCAACAGTCAATGGAATGTATTATTCGAGTAAATTCAACAAACGTTTCAGTTCCGCATTTAATTTTGACCTTTGAATAAAATGTTAGTTATTTATATGACTGTTGAATTATAATGAAACTTTAAATTCACATTCTATTAGTAATTTGTGAAAATGAATTGTTTTGATTGTTGTATTTAGGTACGGAAGCGCAGAAGGGCCACATATTTTTAATATTTGTTTCGACATTTATCTCGAAATTTCGACTTTAATCTCGTAATTTCGAAATTATGACTTCAAACTCGAAATTTCGACTTTAATCTCAAATTTTCGACTTTAGAGTAGTTGTTTTCTGATAGGTGTCAGTCCATTAACCTACTGTGTAGGGTGTTTAGGCTGGCCTGAACGAATTGTTCTTTTAGATGATTTGATTTGTTTTGATTTCTGTTTTCTCATCAATGGAAATCAGCGTTGAAAGGAAATACTGAGTTACATATAATGGAGAGGATTTGACTTTTGGAATACTCACTTTGAGATATCAGATGGAAAAAATTAAATTGTTTTCAGGAACACTATTTAGGGTATTCAAGTTACTTCGATTGAAAGTTTACAAAACTGCAACATGTGTGTCTCTACAACAGCCTTCTCAAGCGTTTTCGTACGGATTGAATTCCACTCAAATTGTGCTTCATATAGTACACATCGTGAATAAAAATTTCACCAACTCGTTAATTGAATATGAATTGAATTCAATTCTATTTGGTCATTTAGTAAATTTTCAGAAATCCGAAATCTATTAATTTCTAAGCAGTTCAAAATATTAACTTTGAAACCTTCCTCTTCCAGATATAATACTTCATAAGCGTCATAGGACATTGACATACTTTGGTGAACCCACCAATAAAAGGCTTTTTTTTGAAAAGGATAAACTTCGGCGTGGCTTACCGGACAAATGATTATTTAATCAAGTTTCGTGTCGGATAGATCAGGAGTATATAAGTTGAGTTGAGATTCTTTCACATAACTCTATGTTGGCCAAACTGGGAGATCCTATTTCCAAAGAATAAAAAAACATATGCTATTTTTTATTGTGAAGGAAACTTTTACAGAGGGGTATGAGTTAGTATCCACAATCATTTTCAAGTGATGATTCATCACCTGAAGACGATTGTGGATACTAATAAAAGAAACGTCGTGAAATAACTTGGCTTGGAATCTCCTGATTTTTATTTTTAATTGTTTTTTGTTTTTTGTTTGATTGTTTTATTTTTTACTCACATTTTATTTCACTATAATTTCATTTCAGGATTTTTTTGCTTAATATAGTTGTTATTTTCAGCTATTGTTTTTAATTCTTCATTTGTATTGGTTCTTTTAGAGATTTCAAATAATTTTNTGTATTCACGATAGACCATATATCACACAACCATTATTCCAACATCAAAACCTGGGTGTTTCGAATAAATAAAAAAGTGAGTTTCATGTTGTTTCAACCCTTATTTTTGAGTATAAAATGAAAAAGGCATATTCAAGTAACACTTGGTTGTGATATTTTTCACAGTACAGTTTAAAAAATACAACACGTGTTTCGTTAAACAATTGCTTTCCCAAGCGTGTTCATTATGTATGAATACGCCTGAGGAAGCTACAGCATAAAGTGTTATTTGAATATGTAGCTTCATAATATGTTCATACATTACATTCAAGTAACACTTCATTGTAATATTTTCACTTAACAGTTTATGAAACCGTAACATGTGTTTCGCTATACTCTAGCTTCCTCAGGCGTGCTTATACCGTTTGAAAACGCCTGAGGAAGCTACAGCATAGAGTGTTACTTGAATATGTAGCCTCATCAAGCGTGTTCATACAGTACATTCCAGTAGGTACCACTTAATTGTGATATTTTCACCTAACGGTTCATGAAACCGTAACATGGTTTTTGCCCTACTATAGCTTCCTCGGGCGTGTTCATACTGTTTGAACACGCCTGAGGAAGCTATATCATAAAGTGTTACTCGAATATGTAGTTTCCTCGGGCGGGTTCATAAAGTATGAATACACCTGAGGAAATTACATATTCAAGTACCACTTTATTGTGAGATTTTGTCAGAACAGTTCACGAAACCGCAACAAGTGTTTCACTATATAATGGGTTCCTCAGGAAAACTACACAACGTTATTGATGGATAAGCATTGAAATACTTGGAAATTGAGCATCCTTCAGGTGGGGGTACTTCTTGAAAACGAAAGCACATATAATTCTTGCACATTGCGAATGTATGTCACATTTTTTGTACAAAAATGTAAAAGTGGGAAGCCAAAAAGGGTTTATTCGAAAATATATACAATACTTACTTTGTTACTTCTTTGCATGATCTACATATCTTTGTATAGAGTTACTTTTTTGAAATTGAAAGTGCTTCTTTCCTTTCTTTGGAAGATCGTCTTCGTGGAAAAACGATTGTAGATACCCACATTTTTTTTATTTTAATTATTCAACTGTTTGCTCAGTTGTTATTTCATTGTAATTGTTAATTACAGATAGTATCTCTAACGGAGCTCATGGCTGGCGTCAAAGCCCCTCCTAAGACCGTCCAGTTGTTCCAATTGACTTGTTGGCCGATGGGCCATAAGGTCCCAACCTCAACCAACTCCTTGGTAGAGCTGATGAACATGGTAGAGAGATGGAGACAGAGAACAGAGTACGGGCCTGTTTGTGTGGTATCCCCGTAAGTATTCATAAAATCCGTGACTGTCACTCTGTCTTGTTTCTTTTTTGGAAAAATTCAAAGAAACATCGAAATTTCAGGGATGGAAGAAGTAGATGCGGAATATACTGTGCTGCAAACGCTTGTATAGAACAAGTTATTCAGCATGGAGAGGTAGATGTATTTCAAGCAGTTAGAACCGTAAGAAGACACAGACCACAGCTTATAGAAAATATTGTGAGTATTTCGAGAATTAAATCAGTACTTCGTGGTAATTTTGATTATTTACTCGATGGAAAAGATGAAAGCCGGGCGTCGTTTTCATATTTTTATAGCAAATACATTCGCTAGACCTGTTCAGCAGATTAACATGAGCATCAGTTGGTATATTTAGGTTATGTTAGGTCCAAAGTGACTGAGTCTATTCGACCCTCCACCGCAACCCGCAAGGGTTCATTGTGGCTCACACCTATTCACACTCGACCAAATAAACCCAGTTTCTTAACGAAGCCGATTAGTTTGTATGGTGAGTGGTCTTTCAGGTTAGATGGTGAGAGCAGTACCGCTCTACCGAACTCTAAAAACCTGATTCGATCTCCAGCAGAGCAGGAACAAAGTATGTGCTCTGCTGTTTCATCATTTTCCAAACAGAGATGACACACACTGTCTGTCGACACTCCGAATCACTGCATATGATGCACACACACACACACAATTCAACAGCGTAAATTTCGGCTTGAAATACAGTCGCATAGGTTTCTAGGCAGGTTGATATCTTTGTCCTGGGTCTGTGACTGAAAACAAAATATTCATTTTAAAACGGAGTTTTTTCAATTTATATTATTGTTACATTTTTTCTGAAATAATCTCAACATAGACCAATCGATCAAATCTCATAATTTCATAAATGTTGCTCTTTAGCTTTCGTGTATAAGAGTTTAAAATGAATGTCAATATATATTCTTCATAAATCGATCCCAATCGATTAAAATTTATTCAATTATATTGTAAAAATGATATCAAAAATAATAGAGTTGCACTTTTGCAAACACACCATTGATTTAGACCACTACTTTGCATCTGATTTCTCTAAATATTAGATAACCCAAATTTAGTTCATGAAAGATTATTTCTATAAATGAAAAACATTTATAAGGATCTTTCTCATATGTATACATTTTAATATTTAATAATTTCACACATTAATAACATAACCTATATAACCATAGACCATAAATCTCACTTTATGGTCTATTTTATGATAACTACAAAATATTCTCTCATTTCTTCATATATGCATTTCAAATTTCCCTCCAAACAGTTGCTAACACTAGTGAGAGGTCTGCCATATTTCACAAATATCAAAATTAGTTGGTGCAAGTAGTCACTCTGTGACATTTTCTCAAAATTGCAGTTCTGTGTTTCTGTGAATACTGTTCTATTACATTCTTATATTTTAAAAATTTTTACATGACAATTATTTTTCTCAATTTTCACATGAATGGATAAGTGTTTCAGCTGTAAAATATATATATTTCCAACATTTCATATTTCAGAAATATATTTGTGGACTCAATTCAACAATTTCGTAATCAGTTTAAGATCAATTAAAATTACCAAATGAAGTTGATAAATGTGTTCATAGAAACGAACGATTACTCAATATTATGATCTTGCTGTGAAATATGTGAAACCATGTCAAATAAATATGTTCTGAATCATTATTTAACCTAACCTAACCAAACCTTACCTAACCTAACCTAGCCTTACTTAACCTAACCAAAACTACAAAATTTCCAAGTCTGACTTCAAAATCTGAGATAATATATTCGGTGGGTTGAAATTCTCAGTATGTTAGTATGATCACTACACTCCACCGAGAAAAAATCAAGACAATTCATTTTAACAATCATCTAATGAGAGCAACATCGGGGAATGACTACGATCCATCTCGGACACCTTTTTACGACAATTCTAATAATAAGTATAAATATTATATTCATATAGTAAGATTGTTTTATTTTGCAGACCGAATATAAATACTGCTACGATGTTGTTTTGCACTACGTCCTGCACTATTTACAGAAAGACCTAGAGGAAATCAAGACGAAGCACTAGAACTAGATACCTATTAACTTGCTGTCAAGTCACCCAATGCACAAATCTAATGGCAGAAATAAATTCCTTTCGGCAGTTTTGTGTCGCACCGACTGTTACAGATAGTAAATATTGATAATGGAGTATACGCAAGTAATTTTGTACCTATGGATATTCAAATTTGACGTTCAGTTCTGGTCTGTGATTCACAAGCATGAATTTCACATACAACCAACTTTATGGTTCTGGGAATGACATTTGTACTTCTGAGATTTGAAGTTGGTAGAAATGCTTCAAGTAACCAATTTATTGGAATGAAGTAATGAGCACGATTTTTTCATAGGTGTTGAATTTTCTACAGCTTGTTCGACACAGCTTAGTCCAAGGGAGTAATTTTTTGTAATGAGAAACGATAAGAATTTTTATTTTCGATATAGGTTTGTTATGAATACATCAAAGTTCAGTTGCATTTTCTTGTGAGTGAAAAAACTGGGACCCTAAAAAATAGAGGTGAAAGAAAAGTGGTGAAATCATTTTTGTTGTTAACGTTTCGCGACTGTGAAATTTTGAGCCTTTGCCTATTTGTCAATGCAGATCATATTATGGCTTCCCTGAAAATTAGATTAGTGTTCTTAGATCTGATTGCAAAAGTTTCTCATCTTCGTGGATTCACGAAAATGTCATATTTAGTAAAAACATTATGCTTATTAGCCAAGGGATTAGATGGAATATATTTCATTTTGGGTTATCCATCAAGTAATCTGGTTCAAAATGTCACTATTTAGTAAAGCTTTCAAGTTAACTTAGTTCTTTTTATAAGTTTTTGTTAACGTAATAAACTTTCGAGGCCAATGAATCTGTGAATTAGTAATAATAAATTGTATGTTGTGGTAAAGGTTGAATGTTGTGTATATTTTTGTTACTTTGCCCCCAGTTGGTGAAATGTGTCATTGTCTAAATTACCAATAAATTAAAGCAAAAGATGAATGAGTTTTATTTTCCCTATATCTTTCGAAAATAGTTGAAGGCATTGTATACTGCTAGGAGGAAGATTTCAATGGTGCTGTTGAAGGCAAAATGTCCCAATAAATGTACTAGTCTATGTAATGAGTTTAATCGAAAAGAAATAGGCCACTGAAGTCCGTAGCATACTTAGTCCAAACGTAGGATACTTTCGGAGGAATTAAGCGGGAAGCAAGTTAACACTTTTACCTATCATTTTATTTCCACTGATCTTCACTGATAAGACTGGCTTCTAAAACGACACAGAAGCTAAAAATCCAATCATGTTTTCGGTTGGGAAAATGATTATATATTTTGACCGGATCTGCCATCTATTATTGAATGGCTGGACTGAAACAAAATATCGATCTCATAGAAACACTTTGGCAACTGATAAGATGACAGAAAATTTCGAAAAGATTCCAAAAATTCAAATATAATTCTCTATGTATGAAGATACATATAAAAAAAATCACTAAATGAAAGACGCTTCTTGCGTCTGGAAAACGTGAATGATTTGATATTTTGGCAGGAACTTCCATCTACTACTGAATGATCGAACTTCAACAGAATATTGATAGAATGAAAAAACTTTTACCACTGACTGGTAGATGTCACTAAAACATTTTGAAATTATTTCAAAAAATTGTAATGTAATTTTCCATATGCTTTAGTAGTCTTTAAAACGAATTTATAAAAATTCACTGAACGGAAAACGCTTCTTGCATTCAAAAATAAGGCAAATGTTGTGGTGCGAATAAAGGAAAGCAATATTTTTTTAATACAAAAAAGTTTTTTGGCTCTGACAGAATAGTTCGATTGTGATTTTCGTTTAAAATTTCGATCTAATATGAAAATGTTGAACACTGGCTTTGCCAAGAATATTGAAAAATATTCAGAAATGACATTGAATGTAGTTTATTTTATTTTAATTGAATAACATGCACGGTCCCCGTTAGAAAATGTTTTATTCGGCAGGAGCTGCTATCTATTATTCAATGGCCGCACTGCAACAAAACATCGATCAGATGTTTCACCACTTTCACCATTGACTGGTAGATGTCACTAAAAAATTAGAAATTTACAGAATGATGCTTCCTTCGTTTAAAAAATAATTATATCGAAAGCGTAATTTCGATAAGAGCAACCAACCATCTACAATAAAATATTCGAACTGTGACAAAATACCTATCAATCTGCTTCATAAATTTTGGTAAATGTCACAACAATAACAAGATAACTTGGATATTATTTGAAATGTTTCAAAGTGCGTTTTTATTATATGAATTTCCTGTGCCTGTGCAATGAAAGAAAATATATGTGTCACAACCATTGACAACATGATTTGAATATTACGTTTCAAAATATACTTTGTTTTTAAACCACATGTACGGAAAATAAAAGAAAATAAAAAACGAAAAGAGTATTCCCATGAATGTCCGAAATACCAGTCATTCATCTTAGACAATACCAGCCAGAGTCTAAACTGTGAATCAGTAACTTTGTTCAATGTCTGATAGATGTCGCATCTGAAATTTACAGAAAAATTTGTTGAACGTCGGTATTCTCTATATGATACCTAGTACCTTCACCACATTTGAGTTTCTCTCGAATCAATTTTGATAACTTATATGTATATCAACAGATTCCAAAAATTTTATAGAGTTGATGGAAGAGTAATTATATTACATTTCAATACAGTTCACTAATACACTGTATGAACATTTCATTCACCAGAATCGAAATTCCACTCCCTCGCAACTGAAATTTCTCAATCTTGGCGGGTGATAGGTAATATTCTCCAAATAAAAACATATCAATCTTAGCCTGGTACCTGGTACCTTCATTTTCCATTCTTTAAGTATACTCAGGACTTAAATTATATATTCTGGTTGAAACATAACGATTCTTGATCATAATAATTATGCATATTCAAAAAAAGGTATTTATTTAAAGTAAAGCTCAACTCTGCAGTCATCTGGAAGTGATGGACTCACTTGGGTATACTCCCATATGGTCTAGTGGCTAGGATACCTGGCTTTCACCCAGGAGGCTCGGGTTCGATTCCCGGTATGGGAATTTTTTTTCTTTTTCACCGACCTATTATCCGTCAATTTTTTAAATGATGCTCTATAAACATTGCAATGATAAATTGATGAGACTCAGCAACTCTCGTTGGAAGATCAAACTCATCAGACAGTTTTTGGGCTGATACTGTTGAAAATATTGGACCAGTATCTGTGAGCGGATAAGATCTTAGAAGACTTTTTAGTGAGAGAATACACCCATTAATAACAACTGATTCAAATGATCCAGTTGACCCAGCTAGGAACAAGTCCTCCATTTCCAAAAAGATGAATCTCCACCCTAGCCGATGTTTAACGATAAGAAACGTGGTAGATGAATTGGTAGAAGTGATTGGATGGCCAATCACTTTGAGACATCTCAATAATTATAATAATAGTAATAATAATAATGACTTTTATTGATGGTTCCATACAATTACAACCAATCAAATGGCAGAATTCAATATTTGCGTATGATAAATCATCGCAGAGAATGCTCTTCCAAATTTCTGCTACCGCAGTTGTCGGTTGATTGGTCAAACCACCAACACTGACATAAAAACTTGGCAAGTTGACTTGGGTGTCACACCAATAGGTGGTTCCACTTATGTTTTGCTTGCGTTTACGCAGCTATTTTTATCTAGTACTTTCTTGGTTTTTTGTCATTTTGTCTTCAATCGAGGACCGCCTGCCCGGTACTGACGATGCCCAATAGGCTGAAACAGCTGTATACCGGTGGCTCTTAAATTGAAATCAATATGGGAATGATCAAAGAGTACTTTATATAGAGAAGTTTTATGCTGTGGTATTCTTAAGTGTGTCCTGAATCTCAAGTTAAGATGGTGCACGTCAGTTCTAAAGGATATTTTTTCGAAAAGATAGGAGGGTTTTATTGTTTTAAGGAGTTTTTGAAAAAATGTTGCAGAATGAAATGTTCGTCTTGATTCCATATTCAACCAACCCACATCCCCGAACAGATTGGAAATGTGTTCTCGTTTCCTCGTGCCCGTAATGTGCCTAATGCATGCATTCTGTAGTTTTTGGGTTCTAAAAGTATCACTCTTCAAAATTTTCGGACCATACACCACGTCTGCGTAGTTGGCATGTGAAAGAACTAAAGCATCGCAGAGTATAATTTTACTTTTTTTATTCAGAAATGCTCTGTTGGAATATATTATTTTTCAAATTTGCGTAATCTCGTTTTAGAATCTTGATGTTATCTCAAAACCTCAAAAATTAACAAAATTGATTCTGAGAAAAACTGGTGCTTGCAGGAAATGAACTTTTCCAGAACGTTGAGGAAGCATTTTAGCTTCTAATGTATTAATAATTAATACCTAGACATGACAGCAATTCAACATGATTTTTTTTGTCTTTCTTTGGAAGTGTCCCCACTTTTTTTGTTAATTGATGGCGAAATAGAATGCCAAAAAGTCTTTTCCTATATTTTGGTTATTAGTGAATATCTTGAGCAAACAAATGATTATACCTATAACTGATTCTGTTCAAAAATCTGTTTAAAATCTGTTTTTCCGTTAACCAGCTGTCGCACCCCTACGAACGACAACCCTGAGAAGTCGAAACTTGTGCGAGTTGAGGATTAACGAGGTCTTACCTTTTAACGTGTGATTCCTAACACGGGTTGGAAAATAGCAAGGGAAGATCGATCGTTCAAACTAGGGCTTGAACCACCGACCAACACGGCAGTCAATTCGAGTGAGTGAACAAAGTACCCACGCCGAACCGCTTGGCTACCGACCGATTCATTCAATTTGCAGAAACTACGTAGGTTTGGAGCTAAAAAGAAATATAAATTTTAAAACATCAAAAAATAAACCAACATTTACTCCGGTATTTTTATTCACAGAAGATCTCTCATTTTCCCGAACCTCATCAAAAGGCAGGCAATCAGGATAAACAAATTCTGGAGAAAGATCCCCCATCCTGTCCACTGGTACTGGCTCTGGTCCATGAGGAAGTCGTTGATAAGAACATAACTCGCTGCTATCAAACATCCAAAACTAGCCATCAGGAATGCCATCAGAAACAATCTCGCCATCAAAGAGTTACAAACACCTGGTGTTGCGATGTCATATTTAGT